TGTTGGATACATGTGCTGGATGATTTTGTGTCACGCAGACTGGTAAGATAACCGTTTGATAGGGGGCACCGCGATGATTCACGGGGCCCCTCCTTGCTGTGGGAGCCGCTCTTTGAGCACTCCCTCTTTCGTCCGTGTGAAGGATGGTCGTCTACCTCCCGTGAAGTTAATACATCACCAAAACAGTCTCACCCGATAAATAAGTGGCGTAGGCCGCAAACAGAGTGGTCTGTTTGGAGCAATTGGTTAGGTGTTTGGTCTTGCTTCAAAATACACGACAAAAATTCATGATGCAGACAATCATTTTCAATCAGGCCTCAATGTGGACGTTTTCCCGGGAGAGCTTTTTACAAATCTGTTGATAACTCCAAGTGCAACATCAAAACTCCGACCGTAGCAGCACTTACACGCTGGAGTAGGATGGGCAGAATTGATGCCACGGCCACAAAATCGCCCAAGGTTCTCGGAGAAAACAGACGCTATTTTATACCCAGCCCTACGTCACCCATCTCTTACCTTGGCAAAATAAAAGCCATGGCTGGTTGTTGCCGGATTCACTCTTCCAGTTGGCATTAGGCGTGTTTCATTACGCCTTTGCCGCAGACCACATCTTGGTAATTTTTTCCGCCGAGATGTTTGGTTGCTGGATGATGTTCGGCTTGACGTGACTCACTTGTTCGTCGTCCACGATTTTTCTCACCTGAAAAACGTCCACAGCACCCATAGGTCAGGCATACAGCGAGGGAGCGAGGGAAGGGGCAACGCAGATCATACACGTGTTCTTTATACCTACCTTCAAAGATGACGCCCCCCGGACGTGCGAGGAATTCAACTCGATTTCGATACGAAAAAAAAAAATGAACGGGGGGAATGCACCTCTCTTGCGGGAAGGGCCAATGTCGGTCTGTTCCCGGCCTGTTCTTTTCTTCTGGCATAAAATGTTGTCTGGCTATCTGTGCATTCCTTTGAAAAATTCAGCGCGTTTTCAATGTCTTCCACTATAATAGGCAACGAAGCAACCACAGCAGTATCTATAGCAGTATGGTCGTCGGCGTCAGCAACTACTACATAACTTACCGGTAGACGTCAACAGCAGGTTGACCCGCTCTTGGGGTTGGATACCTAATGGCTTTTTACCTAAAACGATGGCGCGATCTAATGGCTTTTTACCTAAAACGATGGCGCGATCGTCCGTGGACGTTATGAGGTGTTGAGTACCATGCCTAAAAATAAGTATCAATAAACGGCATGTGTTATCAACATACACTTCGACTGCTGTTTTTGTACAACGTCCTCGTCAGATCCGTGCTAATCAACCCCCTACCCCCAGCACGCACATGGTGGCCAGGGTCTCGGAAACGGTCGGTGACCTCTGTCCGCAAAATGTTCCGCGGCCCAATTGCTGACGGGTCCACCTCCTGCCGGGTCGCCTGCAAGCGGCTGTTAATGACAAGTGGGTGGATGGAGGCTTCGCACAGGATCCCAACGAGCCGCATCATCCAGTGTGGGCCGTTGTGCTCCGTGATGCTGCCACTCCCTCCGGTGGAACCACCCCCGTCCGGTCCGTCTGCACCACCCGTCGACGAACCACCAGTGGGAGCACTCCCGCCATCCCCCAGTTCCGGTTTGTCTTCCTCCTCCATGGCGTCGTAAAGGTCCCCCACACTGTAGTCCACATCCATCCTCGAATATGAACGGGTCAGTACTGTCACGTGCTAGGGCGACCATGTTGACAACGCCTCGGAACGTAAGCAGTGCTTTCGCAGGGATGGCTCCCTCCTCCTCCGCCTCGTCCTGCACGCTGCCGCGTCCGCGTCCAGATTTGCCTGCGCGAATATTGGGGATATGAGAACGCAGTCCAGGCAATGAATACGCCTTCGCATGAGAGGAAGCCTCAGTCAGGTGTACACGCCCAAGTTTGGCAAATTTACATATTCCTAATGACTGTCCTCCACAAAACATCGTTCACCTTACCTTATTCCTCTGGGCGTGAGAGGACAGAAGACCCAAAGATTAAGCGTATTGGTCGGTGCACCACCGATTGAATAACGTCATAAAAGCATGCCGTGTGGTACGCTGTGAGTGCCTTCAATATCCCGCCTACTGGGGCAAATAAAACAGCTCTCGAGCATGCCGTACGTGCTACTGTACAAATAGGTTGATTTGAAGCGGGCACTACACACGCAGCAATTTTGTTTTGTTTCCTCTGCGTACACTGCGTTCGACTGCAGCATAACTTCCTATATTTTGTCGATACTCTGTTTTTTTGTTTGTTTGTTTTTCTCCCATCATTGGACTCTGTCGTCTGCCCCTCTGGCCCCTATCCCCCACTTCTACTAGCTAGACGACCCAACCGGGGTCACATAGGAGGGGGGGGTTGGACCCCCTCCTGCGGTTCATGCCTGAGGTATTTTTATCGCGAGGAGGGTACAGCAATCCCTTCCTTCCCTCGCGACTTACGAAGTCGATTATGGTTTACTAACAAACGAGCTTTGCAGCGCGTCGCTTTCAACCTAGACCAGGATTTATTAAGTGAGAAAAAAACTCTCTCTGCGGGGACTCGAACTGACCTGGCCCTTAGCAGGCTGCGAGGCTACCCACTAGACCACCGGGACGACCGGTGTCTGTATCGTCTGCTGGTACTCTAATTGACGGCGAATCTACACAATACCAGCATCTCACCGGCTGCGATAGCATCGAGGTCGTCGAAGTACGGAGATGACCGTTTCATATTCGCGTCGAGAGATCGTAGGGTCGCCATCAGGACATCCTTGCTGCTCTGCGACATCCTCGGGATCTTGCGGTGCGCGCGCATGTCCTCTTCAGAAAGTGTGTGGCCCAGTGCGGGTAGTCCTTGCGCCGGGCTTTTTTGGCACTCGCGTGGTGGGATGCTGCTGCTTTGTTCTTCCCTACGACGCTGCCGCCGGCGCTCGCCTTCCGCTTGCCGTGGTTCTTGGTCCTCGTGCCCGCTCCCCCTCCCCCGGTCATTGCTTCTCGAATTTCCTTTTCGAACACGACACCTCCCGACTGTGAGCCAATGTCCGACGGAGCTGAACTGTCCCTACCGAAACATTGTTCCTGCCACTTGACGTCGGGCTGCCCCCCCCCTCATCGTCGTCGCCGCTCTCTGACTCGCTCCAATTTCTTCGTGGGGCGTCGCGAAATCGCTTGTCGTTGAGAACCTTTGCTACGGCCGCCTGACGACACAGGTGGCCAGTGGGCACGGTTACGAGGGGGTTAACGTGACATGTAACCCCTAGGCGTTGTGCAACCTGCGTAACCCGGTCGGGCGCACCTTTACCAACCTCCAAGGTTAGGCAGGGTTCCGAAACGCCGGTCCAAACCCAGTTAAGGGAAATTTGTATCCGTGCTTGGTTACAGGCGAGGTTGTCCAAGCCCGAGAATGTCCATGCCTTGCCGCGAACACTATGTACCAGCCGGTGTTCACAGAGTACACGACACACCGATTGATCGGACATTCGCGGCATATATAAAAAAACAAAACTTCAAGAGTGCTGGCATTTGTAAGACCGATTTTTTATAGTTGACTACCGTTGGACACGCAAAAAAAATAAAAACACTACCACACCTCCCCCATCTCCGCACCACCAGTACTATTTTCAACAGCTCATTTTCAAAGGAACCTCCTCCTCGCCGCTGATCTGCAACTAACTGCTCACCGTTCACCCCGCGAGTAGCCCCTCACCCCTTCGTGAGTGCTCATTATATCTTGCAGCTGTCGCGTTTTGGGGGCTCTGTTCTTACCCCACAAAGAAATGCGGGTTCGTTCTTGTTCTTAACACCACGTCGGGCCTGAGCACGCACGTGTGTTGTTGTAATATTAATTTGTCGACATTTTCTTTGATTTTGACTTTTTTTCGAGCCCGCATTTCTTAACTGCCAAGTTCTTAAGTGCGAGCGCCATCTTCATCTTCTGATGATCATAATGCAGTGCCGGAAGCAACATAGACAGACATGGGCCTACTCTATTTGATATATATATTGTTGCGTAGAAACACGCACAGCAACGATTGGGGGGCAAAGCAAAGACCGAGAAAAAGAGAGATAGAGTAGGCGATGATAATACTGCCTACTACACACGCTGCCTCTGTCGTAAAAGTCAATACGACAACACGTACGTACGTCTGTCTCCTTAAAAATATATTTCAATAGTGGTCGAATGTAGTATTACTACATAATAACAATATGATCGCGCGCTCAGCATTGTTAAATAATTCTATACTTCGTATACTATATGTTGTTGCTGCTGCTGTGGAACATAAAAACTTAGCTGAACAGAAACTTGCCATTGAACGATTCGTAATGGAGGACTTTACTCGGAGTTTCTGCTTTTAGCGTGGGGGGGACCGCATAGTACAAGTGTGCTCTTATCGGCCGCGTGAGTGGTGTTGCCACCATTGTTTCCGCCCCTAGACTACTATAAAAGCATGGAATTTGGTGCAGTAGTCAGAGGCTTCAACATGTTGCGTGGCGGTCAACCGTTAGGTTGTTCAGGTCCAACTTGCTGGTTCGGTCCACCCCATGTTATGTTTTCTTCACCATCAATTCGAGGTAGAGCAATGCCGAACGAAGACTTGCGTAACTGTAACACAATTACGGGTTGAATAAAATGTAGCAATGGAGGGGAAGGCTCACACATAGTTTTTTCTTTTCTCCTCCTTCATTCACACCAATCCGCGCACGACCGCTTTCATAACCTGGTACGTTATGCTCGCTCGGCCTGTAAACCCCCCACGTTGTCCCATGAAATAACCCCTGGTTGGCCGGAGGTTACACAACGCCCCTGTACAACCGTGCCCACTGGCCACCTGTGGAGCTTGCCCAGCAGCGTCGTCCGAGAAGCCCGGCATCATCCCCTCGCCAGGTGGCACCCCCTGTTGTGTACCGGTACGGGGGGTAACCCTGCTGTGAACGGCCTGGCGGGCCATGCCGCTCGGTGCCCGCTGCGCGGCGCCAGCAGGCGCGGTCTGGGCAACCCCATGCCCAGCAGCAGCACCACTTACTTTCACCTGCATCCTGCGGTCTTAGAGGCACCGATTTCGCGCTAGATGGCCGGCCTGCCGCTGGTACGGCGTTGTTGTTCATGGTGTGGGTTCATCGCGTCTGCTGTGGTATGCCTCGGGTCTCTCGCCTGGTCGTGACCAGTGTGTGTACGTCGGCATCGACGCTTCCGGGATTTTTGAAAATAAGGCGCGCCTCTGCCGACTAGAACCAATGGATACCCCGGAACCGGTTCAGTGTTAAAAATTACGAATCGGTGAAAAAAAAACCGGCGCGTTAATAATACCCCTATACCTGGTTGGCAATGTAGTTTTTGTGTTGGCAGCAGTTTCATACCTCACCTACACATACTGGAGACATAATCAACCGGCCCTGTTTAGATCCACGTGTACAAGGTGCATTCATGCGCGCGGGGCATTCAGATTCATGGCCTGACACTTTGTTTTGTTTCCCCGCGGCGTCGTATGTGCCAGGTTTTGAGATCACGGGCTCCCCATTTTTTGTGGACTGTAGAGCTAATGTGAGAAACAACAACAACAACAACAACAACAACAACAACAACAACAAACTCCCGAAGCGAAGAAGAACGGAAGCGGTACAGCATGTCCGAAATACGAAATAGTCTACCGCTGCAAGGACAAGGAGGACGCGACGCGAATATGTACACTCTTGGCGCGCGCGCTCGTTCATCTTTTTGTCTCCGTCATGTTGTCATGTGCGCCACCTTTTCTGTTTTGCAAAGGCAATTATGTAAGTTGCCAAGCAAGCACGCACCACCTGTTATCTTTTAGATGAAAATGCTTACTACGCCTACACACTGACTGCTTGTTGTTCCTGGGTTAGGGTTTTGGGCAAGCCACGAAAGAGGAGGTCCACCGAGAGACTACAACAACGAAGGACCACGTATGTTTTTCCTCGTGATCCTTCTGGGATTGGTTCTCACCTTCCTCCAAAAACAACTCCCGTCCCCCCCCGCGGACGTGGGAAAGGGGAAAATGTAAAACAGTGAGGTCAAGCTCTACAAAGCCGCGCCCCGAAGGTTGCACAGCCTTGTGGCACGTAGTCCACATCAGGGTGGGCAACACATAATACGGATTGCGTTTCCACCAAAACCACAAGGACTACACTACTGCTGTGTGCTAGCATACGATCGTGTTCTGGGCATATCAAGCGGAACCTTACACGCCTCATACTGAACATCTCAAACAACCATCTCAAATCATAATCTATGCCAAGAGTCAAGCCTCCCAGCGTTGGCTCCCATTGTTTACACAGAAGCGTCAGAGTTGCACACGAACACAGAGTAGGAGCACCCGTCTAACGTACACCGTATGAAGAACTTCGCATCCCAAAGAGCCAAGATGAGCAACCGTGAAAGTCGTAGGTTGCTTTTTCAGCGCGGCGCATGATCTTGTGGACTGGATTGACCCATCACGACGTGGGGGTCACCCGCAGGTACCCTTTGCCCGAGGGTACTTCCATCGTTTTGTGCTGGAGGGAAACACGCGGAATCACAAGGGGGGCGGGGGCGGGAGGGGGTTAATACGCGGTAATAATATCCAGGAGCAAGATGAACCCTAAACAGCTGGCGCAATTTCTATTAAGCTGGGTGGTATCTGGCAGGGATCTCCTGTTCATCTGCGGATGACGGAGAGTGCATATTTCTTGCTTCGTACAACAGAACTTCAGCGGCTCTACTTCTGTT